TTTTTGTTAGCCCGTGTTTTGTAAACAATACAATATTTTGTTTTATGAATATGTATATGTGGATTAGTTGTGCATGGAAATTATGAGTTGTTACAGTTGGTATCAGACTTAAACTAGAGGTGCGGAAGTTATGATAATAGGTTTCACTGGGTCTATGAACATGGGAATATGTTATAGTTGAACCTATTATGAGAAAGATAGATTATATATGACTTATATAATCTGAGTTATGGATAGACTTGAGGATAAATATGATATTATGTTTTGATTATGAAAATAGTCATGTGTGTTTAAATGTGACAGAAAAAGTTATACACTGAGAAATGGCAGATAATCACAATCAATCAGAAAGAACCTCTACTGGTTATGGAAGAGGTCGGGGAAGAAGAAATGTGACTCAAGGGGAAGACCTAGAAAATATGATGACAATTGAAACACGAAGTCACAGCAAAGGTCGAGAAAGAGGTAGAGGTGCTAGACAAGAAACTCATGGGGAACAGGAATTGTCGGCCCAAGAAAGTTCAATGTCTGGCCGTGGTAGAGGAAGGGAAAGGGGTGGACACAATGTTTCTGACCCCGRATTTATTACTCAAGAAATGCTGACAGCTGAATTAGGAAAGTTTCAAGAAAGTCTAGTAAATTTGTTGGGACGTACAGCCCAAAATAATCCAGAAGTGGTAAGAAATCCCGATTATCAGGAGGAAGCCGAAGCTAGTATACCGGTAATTGGTACATCTGTACCCCTTACTTCGTCCTCAATACAAAAAGAAGGAGATATCAAAATGTTTCTTGCCTGTAAACCTCCCAAGTTTTTTGGTGAGCGTGATCCTGTTAAAGCCATGTGTTGGCTTAAAGAGATAGAGCTGAGTCTACAAATTAGTAAAAGTGTAGAAGAGGACAAAGTCATGTTTGCTGTGTCCCGTCTGAGATCAAGTGCTTTGTACTGGTGGGAAGTTTTGTCAAGTTCAGTCCCGAACATTCTGAAAACCATGATGTGGGAAGAATTTGTGGTTAAGTTTAAAATGCAGTATTGTCCTGAAGGGGCAGTACGAAAATTAGAAGATGATTTCTTTCGCCTGGAACAAGGAAATATGTCAGTTCGTCAGTACACGGAAGTCTTTATGGAATAGTCCCGATTCGCTGAAGCTTACATCATATCGAAAAATAGTAAAATAAGAAAATACATCTGGGGTTTAGAATCTAATCTCCGAAAGTTTGTGATATCCAGGAATCCGACAACATTTCAAGCGGCAGTCGATGCTTCTAAAATACTGGAACAAGATATTAACCGGCAACCACAAGAAAGGGTTGAAGAGAAAAGAAAGGGGGAAGCTACAATGACCAATTTCTGTAAACCAAGGTTTATGGAAAATTTGAATCGACCCGTTTCAAGGTTTGCTGATAAGGCGTGTACCCGATGTCATAAAATACATCAGGGAAACTGCAATACAGAGTCACGAGTATGTTTTAAATGTCAGGAACCAGGACATATAGCTCGAGATTGTCGGGTGACGCGGAGGTGTTTTACTTGTAATTCATCTCAACATATAAATGTCGATTGTCCGCAAGCAAAAGGTCGAGGGTCTGGTTTTGTTGGAGGACGTGGATCTGGATATTCTGGGGGCCGAGGACCTGGTTATGTGCCAACAGGTAGGGGACAAATGGATAATCATGTTAATTCAAGTGGTCGAGGAGAGATAAGACGTGGGGAATCTGCGAGAGGGAGAGTCTTTCAGATGATGAGAGGCGAGGCAGAAGAGCACCCTGAAGTGGTGACAGATACATTCCTTGTTAATTCAGTATGTGCCAAACTTTTATTTGATTCGGGTGCAAATTGTTCTTTTGTGTCACCATCATTTGTTAACTGCGCATATTTAGAATCTAAAGCGTTGAGTGAGGATTTAATTATGGAAACAGCAAACGATAGTGAAGTTTTGGTTAAGGAAAGAATAGATGAATCCTTTATAAGTATAGAAGGATGTGAGGTGCCTATACAATTATTTCCTTTGCCTTTAAAGGAATTTGATATAGTTATAGGCATGGATTGGTTAGCTAAAAACCAAGCTAACATAGTCTGTGATGAAAAGATAATTCATATAGACTTACCAGAAAAAGGAAGAGTTGTGATTTACGGGGATCGACGGGATCATTATTCTAGCCTYATCTCAGTTTTAAAGGCTCGGAAATATGTACGGAAGTGATGTACTAGTTTTCTTGCCTATGCTATTGATGTCAAGAAAGAGAAAAAAAAAGATGAAAGATATCCCAGTTGTGAGGGAATTTCCAGAAGATTTGATAAGCTTACCTCCAGATCGAACAATTGAGTTTCAAATAGAACTACTTCCTGGAGCAGCATCTGTTGCGCGTGCACCATATAGATTAGCTCCTTCTGAGTTAAAGGAGTTAATGTCACAATTAAAGGAATTGTTGGATAAAGATTTTATCCGACCAAATACTTCCCCGTG